TTCTAACAGCACACACACACGTAGAGAAGTTATATCAGGTACTGCCACAAACTTGTAGCGACGTGTACGAATAGCATGATAAAGGTAGACTCGCTTTATTGGATTTCCAGCAATAATGTCTTTAAACGTCGAAATCACAAGATAAGTTCATGTTGCTAATAAAGAAAAAACATTTAAATGGCCGATTGGTTTCAAAGTGTGAGCAAACATAGACTCGTACACAACTTCACGAAAACACACAAGATAACCAGTAGAGCATAGCAGCTATTTGTGAATCCTTTCCCAAGCTCAATTCTGCGTATTTACTAAACAAACACCTCGACAACTACTCCCACTTCATACAGTTAACACACAAATGCGGTTCTCTTTTGTCCAAAATACTGTTTTTTTTTTTTGTAAACGCCAAATACATTCAATCACCATAAAACAAACGATATCACGAGTATACTAAGAGATAACACAATAAGTGTAAGAAGTTCAAGACTTTTCAACAGCCTCTCACTTTCAGGTATCCTACCCGTATGAACAAACTGCATCACGAGCATTTTTAACTGTTATTATAAACAATTCCACATAGACAATAGAAAAATATAGTATGCATATTCTGGCCTCACACTGAGGTCCTTTTTAACAAACTGTGTTTACCTGGCTGAAATATATAATAGTCTTCCCATTTTCAGTTTTAGGGTGTCAGCATGGATTCGTTTGTAGGTAAGTTGGTAGTTTGAAATATGAAGTAAGCTTTGATCATTCAACGCTTTTAAAAAATACAATACACATAAGAACAAAAATAAAATTAAACAAAAAATTACAAGCATGAAACACACCACAAGCTAATACTGTCATCCTAAGTTAAAATAATCAGTATCAGTTACAAATCCTTTCAATTGTTAACATCAGAAGATTCCAAAAAGTTCCCCACATTCTTGTGCTGCGCTTGGAGGGGGTTTAACTAGTAATCACTCCTGCATCTTTCGAGCAGGGTAGACAGAAGCATACTGGGTCAAAAAAACAGATTATTGGAACTCTGAGCAGATAGTGAGCCGAGATCTAAGGCAACTATCTGGACGATAGCACCGAGTGCATGGAGCTCCACAGTGATCACAGCATGAACACGATCATGCTCCAACAAATTAGCCAAGGTCATCACCAGAGCGCGGCTATTTGGGGTCCCCATCTAATGCCTACAAAGACATCTCAAACACCGTCCAAGGGCAGGGGGAGAACCCAACCTCCTTCACCAGACACATACCGGCCAGGAGAGCAGCTAGCACTAAAACACCAAACCTCACAAGAACTCTTCCACGATGAGCAAAGGAATTTCCCTTCCCATTGTGAAGACCGCACTATAAGCTGACTTTCTAGTTATATACCAAATCCAAAACAAATAATGGAGTCCTAGTTCTTCACGGCGTAGATCCAAAGAAAGCTCAACATACTCAACCTAGCTCTCAAAACAGAAACAGAATGGAATGAACCCATGCATAGTCGAATTCCTTGAAAAGAGCAGGCCGTGGAGTATTCTGGCATTCATACTCCAGTCTGGAATAGCACAAGGCTGCATCCAGGCATAGCATGGCCTCCTGATCCACCCTCAGGTTTGGTGGGAGAGCACCTTAAAATATCTAGCGCCTGGAAAGTGTTCTTTTTGAGTTTCTTTATATAACAAACACACACATCAAGCCCCGTTCAAAGGATCATTCCAAAAACTGGCACCTGCTGCTCATAAGAAATGACCACTTACCTTAACCTAGGGCACAGGCCCAGGAAGGGTCATGCAGAATTAATAAAGCAAGGCTTCGACTAAAAACACTGGCAGCATTCGACTAGTAATGGGCGAATGCAAACCACTCCTGGATCTGCAGGTAATTTCCAATAATACTACCGCCACCAGACGGTCCATCATAGGCTGTCTAATTCCCTTAACATACTTAAATCTGAAAGCATAAATGCATCTTCAGCATGGGCATCTCTGCAGTCTCACGGTAAAACCTTACATTATGTTTCTACAATTTTAATTTAATTTATGTTAACCCCTAAACCCATGATATAACCTTTGTTCACTGATCTCTCTGTAGCGTATGATAAAAAGCTCGTACACCATTTGCCTGCAGCCTTTCCTGGTAAAAACCTTGTTGCACTCATCTGTCTGCAGCCTTTCGTGGTAAAAACCTTGTTGCACTCATCTGTCTGCAGCCTCATGATAAAAATCTTGGTATGACGAAAAATCTCCCTAGTAAGACTATAACTTTCCACCTTTCGAAATGACTTCCTGGTGCATCTCTTGTTCAGTGAAGAGACTACCGCGAACTTAACTAGTGTGACAATATAAGAAGTACAGTAATAATGTAATTTTCTTGTCTGGGATCACACGCAAAATGACGGGGCTTGAGACTAATCTTCTTTACCGTACTGTAAGTGGCATAATTCAAGGCTAAATGTAAAAATGGAATCAAGTGGGCTTGTGTATATATTCATTGGTAATCAATTTTACGTTGAATTAGCATGCGTTAGCACATACATACTGTACTGACAACCATACAAATGTGAACATGGTTATCAACTTATCACAATATTGGTAACCACGAAAAAACAATTACTGATCAATCTGTTTTTTGCACGCATTACCTTCAGGATCAAACTTGATTACCTCGCATTCCTTAGGCGATATATAACTTAACAATCTTTCCTTTAAAAATGCAGGAAACACAGACAAGAGCAAATAATGGTTTCTTCATTCAAACTAACCCTAATCATTAACCAGGTGGGAATGGACTAAAAGAACTCAAGAACAGTGAAGCAGAGGATGACTAGGGAAGATATGATCATGACATACTGTAGTAAGTGCAACACAAAAAAAAAAAAAAACTCAAATCGGGCGAAAACATAAGGCGGGGCTAGATTTGGATCGATCTCTTCAAACACAACTACATGAGAATAAATACGGACACTTATTATATTCGTGGGGAAAGGCTAAATCCTTAGGAGTCATAGAGCACCTGGAGAATGGGAAGCAATAATGTTTCATTCCACAAGAACAAGAAGCCTTGACCAACATAAATGCATCCCCCTTCCCTTATGGGTACAGGCACTAAAACTAGAGATAGGACAATGCCAAAATGTCTGCAGATACCAATACCAATAACATCAAAATTTTGCCGATACCCACCGATACTGATACCGATATCATGGAAATTAGCTGGTAATAACACCTATACTCCATTTGCGGTCGATACCAATATTTTGGAACACCCCTAATATATACCAGAGTTTCTTAACATATGTGACAAGTGTACTGTTAAACTCTCAAAGAAGTTGTAAACAAGCCTAGTGCTTCGGGGTATGCGGAAACATCGTCTAACTTCGGTTAGGCACCCATACTTATTCTGGGGTCTAGCGTAGTAGATAAAGTACTCTGTACTCTAATGCAGAGTTTGCAGGTTGAAGTCCTGCTGTGGACGTGTGTGTGTACTCACCTATTTGTGGTTGCAGGGGTCGATTCATAGCTCCTGGCCCCGCCTCTTCACTGATTGCTACTAGGTCCTCTCTCTCCCTGCTCCATGAGCTTTATCATACCTCGCCTTAAAACTATGTATGGTTCCCGCCTCCACTACTTCACTTTCTAGGCTATTCCACGGCTTGACTACTCTATGACTGAAGAAATACTTCCTAACATCCCTTTGATTCATCTGAGTCTTCAACTTCCAATTGTGACCTCTTGTGTCTGTGTCCCATCTCTGGAACATCCCGTCTTTGTCCACCTCGTCTATTCCGCGCAGTATTTTATATGTCGTTATCATGTCTCCCCTGACCCTCCTGGCCTACAGTGTCGTCAGGCCGATTTCCCTCAACCTTTCTTCGTAGAACAATCCCCGTAGCTCTGGGACTAGTCTTGTTGCAAACCTTTGAACTTTCTCTAATTTCTTGACGTGCTTGACTTGGTGTGGATTCCAAACTGGTGCTGCATACTCCAGTATGGGCCTGACGTAAATGGTATAGAGTCTTGAACGAATCCTTACTGAGGTATCGGAACGCAATCCGTAGGTTTGCCAGGCGCCCGTATGCTGCAGCAGTTATCTGATTGATGTGCGCCTCAGGAGATATGCTCGGTGTTATACTCACCCCCAGATCTTTTTCCTTGAGTGAGGTTTGCAGACTTTGGCCATCTAAACTATATTGTGTCTGCGGTCTTCTTTGCCCTTCCCCAATCTTCATGACTTTGCATTTGGCAGGGTTAAACTTAAGGAGCCAGTTGCTGGACCAGGCTTGTAGCCTGTCCAGGTCTCTTTGTAGTCCTGCCTGATCCTCATCCGATTTGATTCTTCTCATTAACTTCACATCATCCGCAAACAAGGACACTTCTGAGTCTATCCCTTCCGTTATGTCATTCACATATACCAAGAACAGCACAGGTCCTAGGACTGACCCCTGTGGAACCCCGCTTGTCACAGGCGCCCACTCTGACACCTCGTCACGTACCATGACTCGTTGTTGCCTCCCTGTCAGGTATTCTCTGATCCATTGCAGTGCCTTTCCTGTTATGTGTGCCTGATCCTCTAGCTTTTGCAGTAACCTCTTGTGAGGAACTGTGTCGAAGGCCTTCTTGCAGTCCAAAAAAATGCAGTCGATCCACCCCTCTCTCTCTTGTCTTACTTCTGTCACCTTGTCATAAAACTCGAGTAGGTTTGTGACACAGGATTTTCCCTCCCTGAAACCATGCTGGTTGTCAATTATACACTTGTTTCTTTCCAGGTGCTCCACCACTCTCCTCCTGATGATCTTCTCTATGACCTGGCATACTATACACGTTAGTGATACAGGTCTATAGTTTAGTGTATATATATATATATATATATATATATATATATATATATATATATATATATATATATATATATATATATATATATATATATAATTCAAAATCTTACCAAAAATTATCAAACATTGCTGGGACAAGAATAAAAGTTTTCAAGAAGAAATTGTATAAGTATCTTCACCTGGTGCCAGATCAACCAGGTTGTGATGGATATGTGGGCCAGCGGGCCACCAGCAGCAACAGCTTGGTTGACCAGGCAAGCACCAGACGAGCGTGGTCCAAGGCCGGGCTCTGGGAGTAGAAAAAATAACGGAAATCATCAGATATATATATACACAAACTAGATCAGCTGGCATGACCTTCGATCTCATTTCACAGCCACTAATGACTAGTAAAAAAAAAAACACACCTCGCAAAGCAACTAATAAAACAGCAATTTGTATCACCGCAAAATCCAAATTAGCTCATACAAAAGCCCTCAAAACTAACGCACCTACGGATTACTTAACCTGGAAACCACAAGACTGGAGACGATTCCCGACTCGTTCTCAAAATATGCTGTTCGTTTTGTAACGTATTGACATGCGTCAATTTTATAATGATCTAAGCGAGCTACACGCTCGTATTTGTATTTTTTTTAAGTTAATTTAATAAAACCTATTTCCATTTATAGCTAACCGCCAATACACGGATTACATTAATAGGTGCGTAACATTTGGCAATGGGATTAGACACTGCAGATAGTTTATTCACTGGAAAACATACACGTTAGTTATGTAGCTGCGACTGCAGGCAGCACGGGAGACCGCAGCTAGTTAATTCATTGGAAAACATACGTTAGTATGTACAGTGCAACGACGGGTTGCATATCCAGACGGAACGCACGAACGTACAAACATTCATTGATCACCCAACAGTGCTCGTCTCAAGGGTCTCACTTTCACACAGCCACTAGTGACCCCTAGTCTGGCGCTGCCACTTTCTCGCTGATGGCACCCAAGTCCAAGTAAGTTGGCAGAATTGGCTCTAGTTACCTTAGATTTAAAATCTATTAATGCACGAGGGCCGTTATGGTCGCAATTCACTTATATACTAACATTCCAGAAAATATAAATCCCTGAAATAGGGAATAAAGTATGTTTATACAATGAAATATATAAACCTCCCCGTGGTTGCAATGAGATTTGAAGAGGCCTTTGACCTATGAGATTAGTCATGCCCTTGTCAATATAAAATAAATACAAACCAAGAATTAAATGTAAAGTCTGCATGAAGAATGTCAAATTGCTATATCATGGCTCGAATAAGATACAAATAACCCATACTTAGGATGAGAACATATAGAAGAGGTTTCTGGTCTATTATTGTCACATTATCGAGTTGTGACTTGAAAACAGTCCAGGACACATCTAATGTTTCCTTTCCCAAATATGGCTTATTTTTGTAAATAGATTTAGCATAATTAAACCCTAAGGATATCCACATACACGGTGGAACGATTGAAGACGAAACCCAGCTAAATAAACCGGTGTGCCAGATCTGGTCATCAATATGTGGACGACTGTGCCGAGGAAAGAGAGAAGCTTGCCGGCGGCCACCACCAGTTGCTGCACGCATCAACCACATGACCGTCTGGGCTGCTAACAAGATCGGCAGTCACCTCACGCCACACGAAAGTGGTACTCGGCTAGGCTGCTACCTGCTCAACCTGGCATTGAACTCTCCCTTGTCTACCTATTGCAAGAGGATTTTTCTATAGACGCCAAGACCGATATTCGATCCTAAAAAACACAAATATTAAGAGTGAAAATTGTGCCAATAACAGTTTTATTATTATTGAAAGTATTACATTTTACATTAATGGGAAAGCGCATAACCCGGAAGTCATGGCTCCTAGGAAATGGGAAGCAATCAGGTTTGATTCAACAAAGGAGATATTTCCAATTCCCCGGATAAAGAGCCATTCACTCCCCCTGAATACTATAGTGCACTGATCAGTCATATAAAATCCAATGTTTGGAAAATCATTCAGAAAAAATGCTGATAATTTCGACTAGTAGCTGAGACCTTTTTTTTCATAAGGATCACAGATGAAGGGCGAGACTATCTTTGATTATAATTATTTAAACAGATAACAAATTTATATAAAAATAATGTTTCTATCTCTCAGTCAATATATACATATTTTTTACATTACCTTATCTGTAAACAATGTGAAATTCTACAAATGAACGCTGAAAATCCTTTTAATCAAGTTACTGAAAATGCACAGAAGATTTTTATAAACTTTAGTTCAAAATTTAGACAAGCTTGAGAACCATAACAGTGCAGGAGGGTCTAAGATGATGTAACTTCATTTACAAATGCAAGTTTATAACAGTACTTATAATTACAATGCTTTGTCAACACTAGTACATATATTTAATCGTGATGTCTATCTTGTGTTATAGCTGGTAAGCAAATAGGCTTTTAGCCACAAGGATCTGGTTATCTTCCCTACAATTATTTACGTTAGCTAAGCCTACCAAGCCGAAAGTCTGGCTTAATGGGACAAGATTAGCGGCTGATCGTCAAGTATAAATCAAAGGTGGAGTACATATGCACATCATACAGAAATTGTCTAGAAAATACAGGAAAATTAATTATTATCAACAGGTGATAATTTGATCATTACAAAATGACTACCCAGTAATTGCTAGGCCAGAAATAAGGATTAAGTCATTTAATATACAGTACTGCGGTACATTCGTTAATGTCACTTAGTCACCATTGTTCTCAAATATGTACTGATTAATATTACTAAAATGGTTTAGTTCATAATTAACAATAATTGACTATGCTCCAGATGGTGAACCAGGCGTTTCTAGAATATTATGTGGACCCAAGGTAATCCTCTAAATATTATGTGGACACAAGGTAATCCTCTAAATATTATATGTGGACCCAAGGTAATCCTCTAAATATTATATGTGGACCCAAGGTAATCCTCTAAATATTATATGTGGACCCAAGGTAATCCTCTAAATATTATATGTGGACCCAAGGTAATCCTCTAAATATTATATGTGGACCCAAGGCACTTCTCTAAAGTGTAAACGATGAAAATATTTAGATGGATGCTTTATTCTGATCATTAATTAATGTAGTGCTAAAATATTCACTACCGGTATTTCCATGCCTAACGTTCATATTTATCACATGGTTATTAATATTTCAAATGCTAACCCAAAAAACTATAAACTAACAAAGATATTCCGAGGAATTCTAAACACGAAGTTGTTCATAATTAACAAGTAAATATGTGTAACAAACCACTGGCACAATTTGATGTTTATCTTGAAGCCTCAATCAATCATTCACAAGTTTTTTAATATACCTTCTATCGGTAGGAAAATTGGACCAGCCTCGCATAGGTCAGTAGGCCTGTTGCAGTGTTCTTCTTATGTTCTTATATATTTATCGGTGTCTGAGTTTTCTTAAATCCATAATTTAAGAATGGTATCCTTCACTGGTGGCGTACAGGTAACATGCAGCCCACGATGATCCTCGCGAGAGAAGAAACAAAAAGATATAACTAACTGAAAGAAATCCAAAACAGTTTTTCTATGTAAAATCCTGGAGACAAGCTTATACTGACGACAACAAAGAATTGAGTGAAATACCGAAGTCACAGCACGCCACTTCCAACTCCTGGAGTCTGCGCCCTTATACCTTCAACGCCATCTGGCATTCAAGTACAATATATGTACACACACACACAATAAAAATTTACTTTCATCAGTACCTCAGGGATTATTCTTGATGTTAGCGTACTGGGGAACTGCAACTTTAAAACCCACGTGTACTCAATAGGCTTAAACCTTACACACTAATCAAATTAGTCTTAGGACCATCAAAGGATGCGGTTTTTGGACAGAATGACCATATGGTGGGAAGACCCGTCTAACAGCGTCACCAAGGTTGTAGTTTGTCAGACCTGTCGCCACCTCTGCCCTTTCACCCACATCTTGATGAGAATCGAGCTGGTCCATAACCTTACTAATTGGATATGGAGAGAGGCAGAAGTTCAAGGCCAATCACTCTTCACCGGGGTACACCTTTAATTATAATTTACCCCAATCACATCAATTATTCATGTTTGCAATTTTAGTATTTATCTGCATGACATGCAATGTCTAGAGAGTTAAATCCTGAGATATCACTATAGTCTAAATCAGTTTTGGCATGAATTTATCACTTAATACAATGCTGGAAACTAGATAAAGGATTACTTATGATCATGCGGACCTAGGACTTTCCAACCCGAATCTGAATCACTTCGGGACTTTCCAACCCTGAGTTTGAGTCAACTTAGGACTTTCCAACTCCGAGTTGGAACCAACCAAGTACTTTTTTGGATATTCGAGTCTCAATATACTCAGATTATATTCAGTGAAATCAAGTAATATTTACATTTCCTAAATTCTATCCAGCTTCTTAGAAATAAGCAGTGTGGCTAGGATGTAGCAAGTATTACCTCTCTAGATCGCCTGAGTTGCTGGATCAAGAAACTGGTTGCTCAGGGGTCCCTGGTTACCCTAACGAGTTTATCAATTAACTCTTTCAGGAACTTAGCGCACACTTTCCCCATAATGCCAGGGTCTCCAGTTACTATAAAACCATTGCTAGCGACCTCTCCTATACTAGAATGACGAAGATATAGAGGAATTACGCATATTTATTTACTTTGAACTCTAAGAACTGAATGCCAACGGATAAACAATTTTGATAAGCATGAGTTGTGTACAGAATAGCAAAATTTATACATACACCGTATATTAAAATGTTACCAAAATTCTCGCAGTCCTAAACCGTAGCAACAGGGTTGTGAATCACCAACTGGGGCCTAATTTTGACTATACGAAATTGTGTATTGAAACAGGGGGTGAAGGACTTTCTCTGTGTAAAGTCCCAGAACTTCACAGATGCGCATTACGTTTCTAAAATCCACTCCTCAAAGTAACCTAGACCAGTTTAACGTCCAAAGAAGAGATCACGCTTTCAACTAGATCGGTGAAAGCGTTCTCGCGTCCAAGACCTGCCCAGACAAAATATGGCTGACGCATCAGTTGAGTACAAGGTTAAGAAAACATTCAACCTCTAGGATGCTGGAAAATCGAACACTTGAAGCGAAGCTGGTAACTGGGATGGGTGACACTTAAGATAGAACGGTTCAGACTAGCTGAGTTGGGCTACAATAAGGTTATATGGGAAACGCCCGAGTTTCGAACATTGTGACATGAAGATCCTGT